GGGTCGGCAAAATAGCTGCAATGATGCAGCACTGATTGTGCTATTTTGACATTCTGTGTGTCAGGGTTCTGCCACTCTGATCTTGTAAATTGTTGTTTTGGTGGCAGAGCCCGGGCACTAGCTGTCTTGTCCTGTTTCTGTCTTTGTGTGTCTATGTGTGTGCGCGCGCCTTCGTGGGTGTGCGCAAAGCATGCTCGCTCTCACTTGATGCAGCCGCGCGGGCTCTGCCTTCCTCGGACGCGCGGGCTTTTGTACTAGTGTTTGTGTTTGTTCTGTCGGCATCGCGCTGCTTCATTCTCGGCGCCTCCGTCTAGTTGGTTTCAGTTTTGGTTGGCGCTGAGATGAAGCATGCGCGTTGCATATGTGTGAGCGCACGGTAAGGTGTTTATCTATCGTGTGCTCGTGTCTTGCGTCTGTCAAAAGCACGTGGCTCGGTGTTTACATTGTGGTCGCGTGCTTTTGTCGTGTGCTTCGGTGTTGTTTGTCTTGTCATAAGAACACGCGGTTAATGAGTTCTCTCACTGGCTGCGTGTTCTAGTCTCGTTTTATGAGAGTGCACGGCTTGTGTTGTCTCTCTGTGTCATGCGCTCTCCCGTCTATTGTCTAGTCCCACCCTCCTTGTTACCCCATTATTAGTTAATTATGTTCATCTGTTTGTGTGTTAATTTAGTCCTTCATATAAACCCCTCATGTCTGCCGTCCTGTACCAGTTCGTCGTCGATTTTTCCCTGTCCTGCTGTGTCCAGCCCTGCCTTGTCTTGCCAACCCAGTCAAGTTTGTTTGTCTATTTGTTTTATTAGTGTTTTTCCCCCTCCGGGTTGTTTATTTTACCTTTTATTTATTTATTTTATTTTTTATTTTTTTATTTACCTGCGTCAGTTGCGTCGCTTTACTTTCATTCATGAATTCGCTCGCAGGGCATCATGGGATAGCGCAGCATGCATGGGATGCGCACTCCGGAATCTCATCCGGGTCATCCGGGTACTTCTCGCCTACTGATTTTTGAATTCTATGAATTCGGACATACTACTCGGCTCACATACTGATTTTGCCGTACTATATAGTATGGAAATATGCGTTTTCGGACGCAGGTATAAAGTCTCAAAGTGTAGGTTAAACTGCTATAAGAAATCCTTTGTACCCGTTTCAGTGGGTTTATTTAATAAGAGTCAATCTTAATTAGCATTATAAATTTTGTAATTGTTGTATTTTGTATAGTTTTTTATTGCTTGTTTTAGTGAATGTCTGCAGCAATATGGCGACGCCCATAACAAATCTCCTATCAAGGACAATAAAGTTTTACTACTACTACTACTGCTAAAGAAATTTTGGGTTTTAGATTGGGTGCATCCGCATTTAATATTTAATAAAATATTATTAAATAATATTTAATAAAAGCATAGATAAATACAATAAAGAAAAAGACATAAATGAAATGAGCAGTGTTTTATTGTTTTATTAATCAGGGGTCATCACAGCGGAATGAACCGCCAACTTATCCAGCATTTGTTTTACGCTGTGAGGTGATCGTGCTGCCCACTGTGCCACCGTGCCGCCTTGTAGCAGGGGTCGGGAACCTTTTTTCAACAAAGAGCCATTTCTGATTTTTTTTTAGCAGATCCCTTTTTTTAAAGAGCCATTTGGATGTATATTTATCTCAAAATGCCTCTTTTAAAAATGCATTTGCTACTGTTTTACTACTATAAATAATACAGGTTTAAATAAAACCTTAATTTATGTCCATGCACAACTAAAAAATAAATAAATATGAAGCATCACATGTTGAGCAAGTGCATGAATGTAGAAAGAACGTCCTTTTATTAACAGTTCTTATTCATTTTGCTGTAAAAAATTTACAATAAAGAGGGAATTGTAATTGTATTTTTGATAGGAATCGATAGGATTTCTAGTGTCTAGTTTAAACGGTAAAATATTATTATATTAGGCGAAGCAGTGGCGCAGTAGGTAGTGCTGTCACCTCACAGCAACAAGGTCGCTGATTCGAGCCTTGGCTCAGTTGGCGTTTCTGTGTGGAGTTTGCATGTTCTTCCTGCGTTCGCGTGGGTTTCCTCCGGGTGCTCCGGTTTCCTCCACAGTTCAAACACATGCGGTACAGGTGAATTGGGTGAGCTAAATTGTCCATAGTGTATGAGTGTGTGTGTGTGTGTGTGTGGAAGTTTCCCAGAGATGGAAGGGCATCCGCTGTATAAAAACGTTCTGGATAAGTTGGCGGTTCATTCCGCTGTGGCGACCTTGGATTAATAAAGGGACTAAGCTGACAAGAAAATAAATGAATGAGTTATTATATGAAGACAGCTGGAGAGCCACATGTGGCTCGAGAGCCATAGGTTCACTACCACTACCTTATAGTAATACTGTAAACAAAGAAACTTTAAAATAAAGTGTGACCGAAAACCTCTATGAATAATGTTTAATTTCTAAATTTAAGCTCTAAATAACGTTTAAAACCCTCATATTTGGTCCATTTATAAATGTTAAAAATAAATCTTCTGTTATTGAACTTACTTAATTAGTTTTTAATCTGGTAATTATATAATCGAAAAGATTTGTAAAATAAATAATATAATTTCAGCCTTTAAAAAAATGCGACACTTAAAAAAAATATTAAATATACCTTTAAAAATGATTATGTAGCTCCAACTGGAACAAATCCTTACTGTTGAGCTCTGTGACAGTGACTTTGATGAAGGACTGCACACAAAACAGCTTCCCATGAGGATATTTCATAAACCTTGTGAGCGTGCTTGTGTGTGTGTGTGTGTGTGTATGTGTGTGTGTGTGTGTGTGTGTCCTTGCAAGGAAATCAGTTTTGAACTGACAGAGACAAAGTGAACTGTACATCCACTGTGCCTCGGTACACACTGTTTCTCTCCTGATTCAATGTAAAGAGCTGCTGCTATCTGCCGGCAGCAAAAGCACAGACATCCCAGATCCGTGTCACAGATTTCAGTAGCTTTTATAGTCTCAGACAGTGTCTAATAGTCAGAGATAAACCTGTTAGCGGGGTGATACTCTCTCACACGAGTCTGCAGAGACCTGTACAAATGCCCTCTGCTGCCCTCTTCAGGACAACACTCTATATTAATCTCAGTGGGTCAAAGAAAAAGTATCTGGGATCAAAACAAGCTGATTACCACAGGGCATCTGAAAAACATATCGCTTATATACCAACATCCAAGTATGAGCAGTGCAGTGGGTATACTGTAAATCCACAGAAAAGACAGATCTCCAATGATGTCTATTCAAGATGTAGAGAAATCTGTATTCTTGAAACTAATAAATACAGCAGATGTCAGTGATTTGTTTGTATTATTTAGTTTTACTGCTCCGAAATATTTTAAATGCTTCTTAGAATAAAATATATTGTGTTTAATGGGGACAAACGTTGCTGTTTTTTACCCAGACATATTAAAAACAGAACATATGTTACAGCAGTAATCACAATACCGGGATTTTGTGAATTTTTATGCAAGGTTCTGGTCAGAATCTTATACCGGCCCATGCCTAAATACCACAGGAATGTATTTAATCTCGCGGCTTAGCTTGTATTTCACATTATCAGCAATTGCTCTTGATTCTGAAGCCTTGAGTTCAGGCATTGATCATCTGTTTATGTCAAATCTTAAGATTAGGATTGTTTATTTTGTCATTTTTCCGTGAAAATTCGTCTAATGTGCAACGGCTGACACATACAAAATACAAAACTGTATACAAAATACTAAAACTCTTTCAGCACCACATTATATGCTAAATTCAGGAGATACACTGGTAAGGGGATGAAAGATTCCTATTTCTTACCCTATTTTTTCCTGTTTTAATTGGTAACCTATAAAGTAAACTCACATTCTGAGTGCAAGACATGAGAAGCATCCGCAATAAAACATAAAAAATGAATATAATTAATCAAAAGTGTGTGTTTCTTAAAATTTAAGTAGTAGGTCACCACTTATGTACACTTTTTAGGCATTAAACCACTGCTCTTTCTGCATCAAATACACACAGGTTTTTGTAAAAAGCACAAAAGTTTATGTCAGTGGTTCTCAAACTTTTTTCATCAAGTACCACCTCAGAAAAAAAATTGTCTCTCCAAGTACCACCAAAAATGAGCAGTATTGAAATACAGTAGGCTCAGTAAAGCAGCTACAACTCTGCACAGTTAAAACAACGTGGCAGATTACCTCAGAAATATAGGCTATATTCATAAATGGCATATTAAATGCATAATTTTTGATCAATTTTGAAATGTGTGTAGCATGTACATGACATATTTCATTCCTCCGCGTACCACTAGAAGGAAGCCTGCGTACCACTGGTGGTACACGTACCACAGTTTGAGAACCACTGGTTTAAGTAATATTTGTCATGTCTGTGAATGTAAACTGTTGTGGAAGAAATTGCATATGTGATGAATATATAATTAAACCTTTAACCTAAATGTAATAAACCTATAATAAAGCTTTAACCTAAATGTTTACTTACATTAAAGGTGATTTAAATAACCAGAATCTCTAGTCATTAATAACTGTATAAATGTAGAATATGCACATAAGAGTGTGGAGCAACCAATGGGGTAGTTCACCCAAAAAATTTAATTCTGTCATCTTTAACTTGTCATCCACTTGTCTTTGAGTTTCTTTCTTCTGTTGAACACAAATGAAGATATACTGAATAATAATAATAAGAAGAAAAACAGCCATTGACTTCCATATTATTTTTTTTTGTTATTATGGATGTCAATGGCTGCTTTTTTTCTCTGCTTTTATTTTCAGGAAAAGAAATTTTCACTATTGATCCATTTTTAAATATATATTTTTTTTAATTGAGGGATTTCCCTATAAGGACTCAGAAGGCGGGCAGTAATATGGTTGTTAAACCTCGCATTGCCACAAACTTACATAGATTTAGAATCACTGAAGTGGAAGTAAATGATGAGTACATTCTTGAGTGAACGGTCCCTTAAATCTAAATCATGTATATACCTTATCATGAAGTCGTGTAGCTCTCGGTCCACTCGCTCCAGAAGAGGCATCAGGTAGTTCAGGATGTGTTTTGTGCTGTCCATGGTGGGGTCCATGAAATCCCTAAACATCCCAACAGAAGAAACCAGAAAATCTACATGATCGCTATGAAAAGGAGACATTTTGATGTTGCAATGCTTGGGAATATATATATATATATATATCTTTTTTTTTTTTTTCAAAAGAAACCTATTTTGCTCAACATAAAAAAATAAAAGCAGGACTGCTGTGACATTTTACGTTAATAAAATTTTTTTAATAATTTTTAAAATGTCATTTATTCCTGAGATTTAAAGCTGAATTTTTATCATTGTTACTCCAATCTTCACATGATCCGTCAGAAATCATGTTAATATGCTGATTTGGTGCTCAAGAGACATTTGTGATACTTACAAATATGAAGCAGCTGAGCTGTTTTTAACATTGATATGACAAAAAATATGACAAACTACTAATCCATAAATATATAAAGACTTAATAATTGTATTTTTCAAGGACTCTTTAAACTGATCAAATGCAAAAGACATTTATAATACTTCTAATATTATTTATTTCATATTATTATTAAAATAATTATTTATTTCACGTAAATGCTGTTCATTGATATTCCGATTCATAAAGAAACTGTTTAAATGTATAATCTAATTATTTAGTTTAAATATATATATATATTTCTTAAATATATTTACACTGAATTCTTTTCACGGAAATAATATTTAACAATAGTTCTGCTTTAATTTACTTTTCATTAAGAAATTCTGTTTTGTGAAGCAAACAAGACTTTTTTTAAAAACATTTTAAAGCATCTTGATTATTAGATTATTAGTGTCTACTCATATATTCCTAAAATATACATTTATGAAAAATGACCATGTACGCCTAAATGCTCTTGACATTTCATTAACGTATATACATAATGTACACTAGTGAATGTTATATTTTCATAAACAATTCTATAAATAAAGTAAAAAATAAATTAATTAATAAATAAAATGCTTGTTTAAAGAGATGATGCCAACCATGTGGGGACTTAATACACTTGTACACATAGACATCACCTATTTACTATACAACTGCAGGTTAACAACACTTATATAATAACTTTACACTATATAATAACCTTTTACAGTTGAAGTTAAAATGATTCGCCCTCCTGTGAAGTTTTTCTTTTCCAAATATTTCCCAAACGATGTTGAACAGATTCAGGAATTTTTCACAGTATTTCCTATAATATTTTTTCTTCTGGATAAAGTTTTATTTGTTTTATTTTGGCTAGAATAAAAGCAGTCTTTAATTGTTTTTAAACCCATTTTAAAAGAAAACACAGGAGGGCTAATAATTCGTATATAATAAAGATGTTTTTTTATAAATGTATACGTTTTTTTAAACAGAGTGAGTATATAGACTCAATAAAGACTCGGTGCATAACACTGTATTATTAACGTGGGACCGGGTTATCATTATTATAACCTGAGATGATGATTGGACAGTTTCTCCATGATGGCGATGGTCATCCTCTCTCCCAGCACCAGCAGGAAGGTCACCACGATATCATGATAACCCTGATAATAATGCAGCTGAGGATTTCTCCTCAGAACATCCAGAATGATGTCGATCAGCTGCTCCTGAAGAACTTCTCGCTCATCCACACGCATGCCTGAAAAACATATCATCACCACAGAACGACCAATCAGGCGTGTTACATTTTAAACAAGCATGACGGAAGGGAAAATGAATTATCCCATTATTATTACAGGATCAGACGCTCCCTAAAGATATGATGGGGAATGTTAAAGTCACTTTTAATCTTGTGACTTCTCATGTGATTTCAGGACAGTTGAGTTTTTTGTTCAGAGGCGAAACACACAATCAGTGCATTATTTCACATGAACATTAATAAAGCCACTGAAGTAGGGGGTGGTTATATAAAACAAAGATTTATTTCAATAGATTTAATATCTATTAAATTATTTTCATAAACACATGTCAAACTAAAAAGGCATAAAAAAAAAAAAAAAATTATTTCCCTAACTGTGTTTTAATAGACCAGGTTTGTAATATCTTGTGTTATTACCTCTTGGAAATAAATCTGTTTGTTGATTTACTTATTTTTAACTTGCTTAGATTATGGCAGATGGTAAATAAATAAATGCAAATGAACTGTATGCAGTGAATATTAAAGTAATTCAGTAATCTACACATATTTAATTAACTTGAGATATTAAAAATATGATTTGCATGCATTCAAAAACTTTTGGAAAAATAATAAAAGCTCTCACTGAATTAAAATTGAATGCAAAATGTACTTGCCAAAAATACAAGAAAAAAATCTATATTCAAAAATTGTTGTATTATACAAATATATAGATACACAGATAATATTTAAATTAATTTAAAATAATAATACAAAATGGATCTTATTATTCCCTTGCAACTTAATATTAAAATATTGTTTTAATTTTTAAAACAATTTTATATTATATTATATTATATTATATTATATTATATTATATTATATTATATTATAATAAATATTTAAAAATAAAATAATGTGAATATTTTGTAAAACAATTTTTTTCATTAACTTCTATAGCATATAAGACACGTATTTTGTTTATTTACATACTTATATTCATAAATCATATTTTTCTCACTTTAGTTATTTTTAACTTGCTTTGGATTATAGCAGATGGTAAATAAATAAATGCAAATGAACTGTATACAGTGAATATTAAAGTAATTCAGTAATCTACACATATTTAGTCAACTTGTAATATGTAAAAATATATGATCTGCAAGTAACTTAAAAATAATAAAGGGTCTTATAAAATTTAAATTATATGCAAAATGTACTTTACAAAAATACAAAAAAAAATCAACATTCAAATTGTTGTATTATACAAATATATAGATATAAAGATGTACAGATCATATTTAAATTTATTATAAAACAATAAAAATAGATCTGATTATTCCCTTGCAATTTAACATTAAAATATGATTTTAACATTTAAAGCATTTATTTATTTATTTATTATATCATATTATTCAATTTTTTTGAAAGTTTTTGTGAAATAACATTTTTTTAATCAATTTCTATGCAATATAAGACACTTATTTAGTTTATTTATATACTTATGTTCATAAATCATATTTTCTCACTTAGTTTACTAACTTCTATGGCCCACGAGACACCAGAAAGTATCATCTTAGCTGGTTTATCACTAATAAACACAGATTGGGAGCACGTCTCCAATCTCTCCTTAGTAAAGTCATATAAATGTGTGTTATGATCTTACACCAACAGTGACACTCATACACTGACCTTTCGGAAAGCGCCGCATTGATCTCCTGACATCGAGCACCACCTGTCTGTAGTCTTTGTGGTCTTCTCGAACATCTTTAGCTTTAAAAGATAAAAATGAGAAACATCATATAAAGGGACAGTTCACCCAAAAATGTTACTTTATTTACTATTTACTCAGCCTCGAGTGGTTCCACACATATGAGTTTCTTTCTTCTGTGGAACATAAAAGAAGATATTTTGAAGAATGCTGAAAACCAGTCACCACTGACTTCTATAGCAGGAAAAACAAATACTAGTTACAATAGTTACAGGTTTCCAACATTTTTCGAAATATCTTCTTTTGTGTTCAATAGAAGAAAGAATCTCATAACGGTTTGAAACAAGTAAGGGGTGAGTAAATAATGAGTATTTTGTGGTAAATAACACACAAACACACGTACATGGTTTGGCAGGCAGACTGTACACATTGATGTTGAGAAGTTTGGGCCACACTTTTCTCCTGATATCATCTGTCAGCAAACCGCCTTCGCTCACAGCCGCCTGCCGAAGAGTCTCGATGTCCACGGGGTCACTGTTTAGTGCCTGATGGATGTCCAGAAGCTTCTTTTTCTTCCATGGCAGATTTTCTGCATATGATAAAAAAGAAACATGTGAGATGGGATCATAAACACTCAACATTCACTCAAAATAACATTCAATAGAGTGCATTAGTGCCTGGACGCTTTTTCAGCAGCTCTATGGAAGAATGTTTTATTATTATTATAAAGATATTATAAAGTTTTGGTTAAGGAATATTAGTCCATGAACTATGAGGAGAATCACAACATTGCACACTTTGATTTGAAGCAAAAATGCCTAAAACAAACTTTACCTCAATGAAAAACAGACAAAAAGACAAAGATGCAGAACTATAAGCTTTACTAAGGGGGAAAATTGATATATTCCCATAATATTCTGCCTTTAACACAAATTTTAATTGACAAAGAAATATATGGTAGTTTATTTACTTGGAAAACCCAACTCTATGGACAGCCAATTGGTTACAAATAACAGGCATCAAATGAAAAATGCCTGACTAAAATCAGTGAAAGAACGAACATCCTGTTTTATTGGACACAGTTGTGGCTTGTTTTGCCATACATTGGCAAAACAAACCACAAAGAGTCTTATTACATCTTTTAAACACTAATATTGTATTGTACTCATTTTAGTCAACACTTACTATACAGAAACAGACACAACTTTGTCTTAAAAAACATGTTTTTTTGTTTTTTGTTTTTTTGAAAGAGAGAGCAGTTCCAAGATGATTCATTGACCTGTTTTCCCTTCTTTTTTGATGAAAAAAGAATGTATATATTCAATTCAATTCAGCTTTATTTGTATAGCGCTTTTACAATGTAGCTTGTGTCAAAGCAGCTTCACATAGATGGTCATAGTTTATGTGATATCCATGTATGTGTGTTGCTATACAGAGATATTGAGGTATAGTTTGTTTATACTCATTCATTCTTTCTTTTTTTAACAAAGAGGCAATTTGTGACACACTGCCTATATTGTTTACCATGCTACTTTGAATATTGGGTCTGAAAGCTCACTTTATTATGACTTTAAAACCAAAAAAGGCCTTTATAAATGACTGTAAACAATGTACTTTAACAGTCATTGGCTGCTAATATTATTTTCTCATTTAAAATTATCAAACTACACTTTTCTAAAATGATATCAAGGAGAAAGTGTGAAGGTGTGAAGTATTCAGCCCGATGACAGAGATGCTTTAACCCACCAAATCTGTCAAACCTTAAATTATGACGTCACAATGAACCTGTCAATCACTCCATATGGATCAACAGTCAGTCAGTATGGAGTTCAGTGGTATAAACTCTCATACACACATTAAATGGATATCACACACACTCGGTGACATCATAAAGCACGTCTAACACAGTCCGTGAGATCATAATAGATGACTTTCGTCCATTTATTAAGTTTATAATGTGCGGAACCGGTTACCTTCATGTCTCCCGACAGACGCTCGCGACCCGCTCGCTGGCAGTCGCTTCTTCGCTTTTTTCATCTCTTACTGCGACTCACAGTCATGAGGATATCAAATACATACTTGTATTACAATAACAACATAGTTTTAATTCAAAACGGACAGTGAAAACGAAAGGAAAGTGGCATTATCTGATTCTCCTCAGTACAGCGTCGCGACGTGGAGGAGGAGCGCTGGCCACCCAAGCTTTACTGTCACTGGCTGAAACGCCGGTGAGTCACTCAACCTTGCCTGCTGTCAATGTCGCACCTGATTGGTTTAAAAATTCAACAGGCTCAACGCTATTGGCTCATTTTTAAAAGTGTTTCTGCACCCGCCTATAATAACACACATGCGGCGTGTTTGTATTTACATGAGTTATGTAATGAATCCCTGCTGAATGAATGCAGCTGAAATAGCCTATATTTCACTGCTGTATATCATAATAGTTGGTATTTCACTTATAAAAGGTGAAATTCTGCTGTTGTAATCACTGAAAGATAAAACAGATAATCTAATGACTTTCCCAAGAAAAATAAAGCAAATTAAATGATTTACACACCAAAAATGAATAAGTAACAAGAAAAACAGGAAATATTAAACGAAAAATATAAAACTGTACGTTTTTTGACAGAAAACTGCTTTGATTAAATAAGTTCTGTAAGATAAATTGAACAAATTAAAATAATATTTTTAAAAAACTTTAATATTGTTAAAAAAATAATTATTAATTATTAATAATATTAATAATAATATAAATAATAATAATAATATCAATAAAAATAATAATAACAATAATAATAATAATAATAATATCAATACTAATAATAATTATTATATTATTATTTATTATTTATTATTATTATTATCATTACTATTATTATTATTATTATTATTATTATTATTATTATTATTATTATAAGGTTATTACATTTAAATGCATTTCTTAAATAAATATGACAAAATTGTGTGTGTGTGTGTGTGTGTGTGTGTGTGTGTGTGTGTGTGTGTGTACGTGTTTTTGTGACATATCAGGACACAAATCTGTATAATGACATGGGTATGACACAGGTATTACAAAAAGGAGGTGAAATATGAGGACATTGGTGATGTCCTCATTTCTCAAAATGGTTATAAATCACACTGAATGAGTTTAATCAGAGAGTAAAGCTGCACACAGTCTCCTGTGATGGTTGGGTTTAGGGGTGGGGTGGGGTGAGGGCAATACAATATACAGTTTGGACAGTATAAAATGAATGGAAACCTATGTAATGTCCCCACTTTTCACAAAAACAAACATGTGTGTGTGTGTGTGTGTGTGTGTGTGTGTGTGTGTGTGTGTGTGTGTGTATATATATATATATTCATTCATTCATTCATTTTTTTCTCGGCATAGTCCCTTTATTCATCAGGGGTCACCACAGCGGAATGAACCGGCAACTTATTCAGCATACGTTTTACGCAGCAGATGCCCTTCCAGCTGCAATTAACAAAAAAATACATAATTAATTATGTAAATTAATTGCAGTCACTAATTGTTTATTGTTGATTAAATTGAAGTTTATTACAATTAATCAACATGACTAATAAACAAATTACTTAATAAATAATAATTAAATGAATGAAAGAGTTTCCCAGAGATTGGTTGCGGCTGGAAGGGCATCCGCTGCGTAAAAACGTGCTGGATAAGTTGGTGGTTCATTCCGCTGTGGCGACCCCGGATTAATAAAAGGGACTAAGCCGACAAGAAAATGAATGAATGAATGAATGAATTAATGATATCTTGAAATAACTTTATATAAATAATTGCATTGTTATTTTGTATTGTCAAATGGAAAACATTGACAACATTTGTTGCATTAACATGTGCTTTATAGATATAATTAACATTAAATATTAATGTTTATGTGAACATTTAAATAACTCTGTGTTTTATTAAACCAATGAGTTACAATATTTAATATCTACCTTAATAAAGCATGACGTTCCCTCACTGTCATAAAATGTTGGGTTCCACATTCATGTTCATTCATGTTATCTCAACACACACTAATTAAGTTAGCTCAATTGTTTTACAGATTTAAGTACACTGTAAAAAATTTCCAGGTTTTCACAACAAGTTACTGTAATTTTTCACAGTAAATTACATTAGTATCTCTTCACAGTATTTAACTGAAAAATTCACAGTAATATGTTGTATTCATAATTTTATTGTGAAATTACGGCAGGTAGCATGATTACAGCAAATTACTGTGAAAAGGGCTATATCTTTTGCACGTTAGTTATAGAAATTCAAACCTTTTTTAACTCAACGTAGAAATTAATACAAATGAACTTTTAACAGATAATAACAGAATGTTATAGCTCCCAAAACGATTTGGTTACCAACATCTTTTTGGTTGTACTGCACCTTTATTTAATTTTATACAGTTAACATAGAATAGGAAATAATATTTAATGAACATAACTGTGTGCTTAGCCAAAACATAATAAACTTGAATAAAAAGTAATTAATTAATGAAACCAAAGACTGTTAAACAGCCAACAATTATTTCAATGTCAGGGTAAATGTCTGCTTTAGACGGTTTCATGAGTTTGGGGCACCTTTCATCGCCTGGAGGTCACTAATCTCAGAATTATATATATATATATAATTATTTTTTTTAATCTATATAAATAAACCACAGATTAGAGTTTTAAACAACTACATTCTAGCATGAAAAACAGTTAAAACTTAATTTTCGGATGCATATAGAGCCATCGAAGACGGGGCAATTGTCCCAATGTCTAGCCCGAAGACAGGCGCCTCTCGGCGGATACATGAGTAATGAGCGCCGTTACCGCCTGGAGGTCATAGATCTCCGCTACCGGCAAAACACACTTAAAATTACACACAATCTTTACTAACAATCCACAGATTTGAGTTTTGAAGAACTACATTCTCGCATGAAAAAGTATTAAAACTTTATTTCATTACATATTAAAAGCAATATTTATAATATTATGTGCCTTCTCATCCACCATTACAGCTTGATGCAGCTTGGTGCGAATTGAATCCTGGGAGGAAAAAATAATAATTCTCAATACACTCCAAACGAACTTTATTCTTATTGTTAAAGTCAGAGATATATACTATTTTGAATGGCGAAGAAAATAATTAACTTTATATTTCAATCAATATATTACTTTTGCACTGCTTCGATTCAGGACTCGTGTGACATTGAATCAGATTCAGATATTTTATCAGACGTGTTCATGAGCTCATAGTCATCAACAAGCAATTCGTGTACAAGCAGTACACGAACCAAGCAATATGATGAAATATTAATGAATTATATGGTTGCGTCTTACAATATTATACAAAATGGAATCGTTTTCAGGCGAATTCGACTCTTTACTGTTCACTTAAAGGAGCCGAATTCGACTCTTTACTGTTCACTTAAAGGAGCCGATTCATTTAACAGAACTGACTCGACTCGACCGCAAACAAGCGCCATCACCACAGACAACGCCTGCCTCGTCTCTTCACCAAACGAATTCATCCTCGGTAAGTGTTAAAATATGACTTTTGTCCGTTAAATGAGTGTTGTATGTGTATTTCTGTATAGTGCATGTCATTTAACAGGAATTTACCGAGTACTTTAGTTGTACTCGCACGTACAGGGTTTAAGCGCGCCTTTTTTAAAACAAGAAATTAACGACGCCAGATGGTGATTGCAGTGTTTTCTGAGGTATTAGCATAACGTTAACGTTAGTTCCTGATAAAAGAAAGGGAATTTTCTTTAATTAACTTCTTGTTAACTGCTTTTTCTGTTTCAGTACAAGACTGAAGTAAAGGTGAAATGACTAAAGTTAAGGTAAGCTCTGACCTTCACTTAAGTTAACGTTACGGGTAGACACCATCATGTACGTTAATTTTGTTCACTGTAACGTTAACGTTAAGTTATTTAAATAAACTAAACTCATTATGAAACAAGTCTTAACTGTTTTATTAAATGAAGCTTATAATACAATTCAGTTGTATTCTTTTAAACTAACACTAACACAGTACATATTGTATATTTCTCACTGGTGTTAATGCAGTGCTAACATTTACTAATGAGAACTAATTGTATATTGTCACTAACTGTACGTTAGATTTTGTTTTTTGGTGTTCAGGTGTACCTGATAATAGCTGAAGTGTGAGGTGAGTGTAAATTCTGAGCACACAAATATAGCCTAAATTCATTATCACGATCTAAACCTATATATATATATATATAGAGAGAGAGAGAGAGAGAGAGTATGTGTGTGCGTGTGTTAGGTTGAGTCTTATTCTACTCTTATATTCATATTTTTTTGCAGCCGCAGCCATTGATGTTGAAACACTGATGCTACCAATCAACCCTTGCTTGATTATTAAAGGTAATGTTGATGCCTTCCTCATTTTTATTAGATTTTTAAATGTCAGGTTTTTCACAGATTTGTTGTGAGCAGTTTCTTGTACAAACTCTTTTTCTTCTTCCAGAAGTTCCACCAGTACCTCCAGTAGTAGTAAATATTAGACAAAGATTTTTTTTAAACTATAGTTTTTATTTTTATTAGCAATTTTACTGGGCATGTGTGTTTGTTTGCTTGGTTTTTAATAGGCAGAGCATGGAATGTCAACTTTGTTTCTACAAACAAATTTAATTATTCACAAACACCTCTAATTTAGTCCTTCTTTCCCCCTTTTAGTCTTATTCTTTGGAGGGTCGAGTGGTCATGGGACCTCACCTGGATTTCACAACTGACTTTGGATCTGGTCTGAAACTGAAGTATGCTGAAGATGCCTTTTGCACTCTGGAATTTAAGGTAATGTCTACAATAAATATTGTAACTGAGGGCTTGTTTTGGGGGGTTAAACAAGGAATGTAAAGGAGCACAAGTCATGACTCCCCTTGTCCCCTTGTTATAAAGGGCCGTGTTGCAGACACAATTTGTTTGTCTGTGCTGGAGACCAGAGGGGAAGCTGTCTTTAAAAGGATGGGGCTCTTATACCATATGTGAAGTTACCTATTCAGGTGAGTGGATTACATGCAAGTCATTGCAAATGCATAAATAGTGGGACATTTTTACTGGGCAGCACAAATGAAGTGAAACTCAAAACATGTGGAAGAATATTTGGAATATTTGCAAAAAACTTGATTGAAATGAATACAACACAAGTGCTATATCACTTCAATCAAGTTTTTTTTGCAAAATTTTCCTAATATTTAAATCTTGAAAAATTAGCTTGATGCAAGAAACATCCTGCTAGTAGTCAAGAGCAAGTACTGTGATGCATGTGTTTACTTTGCAATAAGTGTGAACCCAGCATTAGATTATAGTCTGTAAACAGAAGATGTAAATCAAATCAACTGTTTTAAAATGCTCTGCCTAGGTCATTCAAATCACTATTTGTTGTTGGACTGTTCTTGATTGTGTGTTTGTGATGGAAATGCTTTTCAGATGTTTTTGTTTAAATAATTGCAGTTTGACTGAGTTACAGTATTGTCTGCATGTTCAAACTGAGCTAACAGTAATTTTGCTCTGTAGTGCAGCAGTAGTGTCCCAGTAGTGTTGTATGAAGCTAACTGTTTGTCTGCCCTTTTGCTTATAGGTGCTTTTTGGGCACCAGTTTGGAGATGGAAGACAGACGAAGTCAAAGAAGCAGAGAAGACACATCAACCAGCAAGTGTGTAAAATTATCAGGAAAATGATTGACCTTGAATAGACGACTGCCTAATTTAGCAAGAAGTTTTGTCTCTCTCTCTCTCTCTCTCTCTCTCTCTCATGTGTGTTTATATATATATATATATATATATATATATATATATATATATAATGAGAGAGAGAGAGAGCGCGCACTCTGAAGCACTGCTTTTTATATGTATGCTACATATGATGTCAGATTTTTTTATTAATATGTTCTTATAGTATTTTTTGAGGCTTCACCTTCACCTTTTGAAAGTTTTCTGAAATGTTTACACAGATGTCATTAAGCTGTTAAATAAATCTGTAAAATGTATGTGTTTGTTTTTATTTTGATTTTAGAGTCTTCTCAGATCACCCAAAAATGAAGATTCTGTCGTCATTTACGCATCCTCAGGTTGTTTGGACACAAAGAGGAATATTTGATATTTTTATTCCTGTGTTTAACAAAAAAAATCATTTTTAACAGAGCTGGAACAACCTGAGGGTGAGTAAATCAAGATAGAATTTTCATTTTTGTGTGACCTAAAATTGCTTTGAAATTTTACAGCACCAAACTGTTAAATTACAGTAATCCGGGATATAACTTTAACTTCACAGTTAAATCAGGTATTTAAACCGCAACCTACTGCTAAATCACAGTAATCGTTTTGCAAATTCACAGTAAAATATAGTTAATTCTACAAGATAATACTGTGAAATCACAGTAACAGGCTTTATTATCTACTGTAAAGTTACAATATATGGTTGGAATTTCACAATAATTTAATGTGACAAAACCACAGTAAATTACTGTGAACTACCTCACAATAATTTACTGTGAATTTACATACAGTAATTTACTGTGAAAGTAATGCAATTATTAGCCAGTAATTTACTGTGAATTTAAGGTCAAATTTTTTACAGTGTAGAAGAACTATTAAGTTTTAAGTTTAACTCAAGAATTGTGATGTTTCAGCTCATTTTAAATAAGTAGTTGGTACAACATTTGAGTCAATTTTGTTAATGCGTTTGACATTTTCCCTTCATTATCTAGAGAATGACAATGAAAGCCAGAATAAATGTTTGATAATCTTTGTTTAACTAAAACATTTTGAAGATATCTTCACACTGTGTCACCAGTGGATCATACAGTACATTATTATCCCATGAGGGAGAATACGTTTTACGACATCCATTATACTGCAAGTACTGACAAATACTGTATGTGGCTGTAAACACAGTGCAATCAGAGCTTTTTATGATTGAGTAAATTGTGTCATGGTGCATCAGGGTGTCATTGCGCAACGTCTGCGCAGCGCGGAGGGCTTGAAGCGCGGCGTCCTTTTCCATGATAGCGAATACCGGCTATATGGAAACAGCATGAGAGAAAACATGTGTCCTTTTGTGTCATTATAATCGCAAACATGGGCGACAGAAACGAGAAGGGCTCGGCGAAGCACCGGCGGAGGACTACGATCTCCGGAGAGGCGGCGGTGACTCAAGCCAAACGCGGCGGCGCAGCAGAGACGCTGAGCGGGCAGGTGAAGGAGAAAGAGCCGCAGAAACACGAGAATGCAGCCGGTAGACAGAAGAACCACAGCGATGCTGGAGAGGACACATTCAGGTACAGCCAATGTCTTTATCAAGTCCTAGCACACATATCTGTCTGTCAATCTATAGATGGCAACAGAGATGCTTGTACAATATAAGACACATGGTGTTAGGCAATGTGAATATGAATAGCTGAAGGCCTGTGCATGCAGAGTACATTCATTTTTGTCCTCATATAAGGATTTACAGAAACTGTTTAAATATTTACAGCTTATTCACAATTTAAAATGTCTGAATGTCATAAATCTCAAAGTGCATTTGGTTTAAAAGACATGCATAAATACAAAAATGTTGACAGAAAAGTTGTAAATTATATTATATTATATTATATTATATTATATTATATTATAATATATTATATTATATTATATTATATTATATTATAATATATTATATTATATTATAT